CCGGATCCTGGACATCGTGGTCGTTGGGAACGCTGACGCGGAAATCTTTGCTCTCCCGTCGGCCTACAATGAGACCATGCGTGTCCACATCAGGGCACTGCGAGAGGACCATGGTATTCAAACTCTGGACACCACCTTGATGCTTGCCAGGACTGTGAGATATGACAAGGTGCATTTGGAAGACGATGTCATCAACCGGAAGTATGTCACCAACTTCCTCCAGGCCGTCGCTGATTGCCACCTTGCCTACCTCAAGCTCATCAGCGTCGACGATCACTTGAGAACGCTCCCAAGAATCGAGGATCTCCAGGAGCAGAAGAACTACTCGAACCTCACCATCCTCAAGGCCGCGTACCAGCTTGAAATCGATTCGAATGTATCCTCCCCAAAAGATCTTCCTCAGCGACCCGATCCTGAGAAGCTCATGTTGGATGCAGACGTCGAGATTTTCAACTGGGTGCTTCAAGCTGAGGAGAGCGCCACAGCCTCTGCCGACCGGGAGGTCGAGTCCTGGATGCGAGACATTCCTGAAGAGGACCAGGCATTGGAACCAATGCACAATGACAACGCTGATTCGGACGATGAGGCTGTCAAGGTTCAGGCCCTCACTATGGATGATCGAATTTTGGCGAGGCGAAAAGGCCTATCAGAGGAGCACGACCAAGAATGGCAAGATGCCACCTATGCGGCCGAGGATGAAGACGAGGACTTCAAAGGATGGGACCTCATCGAGGATGACAAACGCCCGCCGGGAGTCGTGGCCAGTGACCCAGTACATGAAGAGGAAAAGGAGCTGGACCTTGACGACCTCGAGACGGTGGCTTCGGTGGAGATTGTCGATGAAGAGGAGTTCCACGACGCTGAGGAGGGGCAGGCCGAGCCGATCGATGATGATGACGATGATGACATGGCCGTGATCGACAAGGTCTCTTCTATGCAGGCCTCGAAGTCTGATGCACGGGGGGACCCGGAGCCCATGGATGTTGATGATCAGGGCAACAAGATGGTCCAGAGTACGGCATCAGCGAAGACCTGGAAGACGGAGATGGCCCAGAGCTCGTCATCGGCAAAGACGTGGAAGACTGAGATGGCTCAGAGCACCTCATCTGCAAAGACATGGCAAACGGACACAACTGCAGCTGCGTCGGCGGGAGCCACGCCTCCTGACCCGACTTCCAAGCTCAAGCCCAAGAAGAAGGCCATGCCAAAGAGATTGAAGGTTGTGGATGAGGGACATGGGCCAAGTGCTGGGCAGTTTGACACGTCGAAATTTGCCACAGCACAGGATCTGGTTTGGATTGAGCCGGACAACATGGCAGGAGTTCCTGTGCGCAAGGTGGACTACGGGAGGCTTGGATCGATTTCCCATGCTATGTCCGACTACCTCCGTGGCCACCGATTGTTTCACAGGAGGCCATCACCTGAGATTCGGAGGACTGATTTGTCAATGGACTTCAAGGCATTGGTGAGGCATCTCCAAGGAGATTTTGCGCACCTTCGAGAAGAAGAAGTTTTGATGGTAGTGCGCAACTCTCCGATGCGTCGCTTCAGAGTCCAGGTGAACGGCTTGTCGTCCGGAAAGCTCAGGTGGACGCCAGTGAGGATCAGGGCCATTCAGGGCCATCGGGCCTTTCTCGTGGAGCAAGGGGGGATGTCAAGCATGATCAAAACGATGTTCACTTTTGATGAGAACTTCGACGAGACCAAGGTTGACGACCCATCGGTCCACCCCGCTTTCTCCGCGATGCCGGAAGGCTCGCCTGTGTAGCACAAGTTCCCCAGGGTGGTGTATCACACCTGTGACCAAGCCGCCTTCAATTCCATCATCAAGCACGGCCTCATCCCTGGCGGATTCCCGTACAAAACGGGCAGAGCCCACAACTTTTTCAACTCCACTCCGCCCTGGAAAGCGGAAATGAAAAAGTTGCAAGGTACGCGGGCCGGGAGGCCAATCGCCATCGCGTTCGACATGGAGCTCATGATGCAAATGGGCTACAAACTTTTCGCGACTGACGAGGCCATCCTGTCGCCAGACTGGATCTCGAACCAGCCGATGATCAACGCCTTTGATATGCGTTCGGGCGAATTTTTCTATATCAACAGGGCTTATGTCAACCATCGGAAGACTTACCAGGAAGTCCTCAAGCAGGCCAAGGCCGAGTTTGATCCGACGGACGTTCTCATGAGCCGCATGGAGATGTTGATGGAAAACGCCCAGTTGAACTTCGAAGGCATCAAAGAGCGCATTGAGTTTGGCAAGCTCCTCCCCTTTTCCAGGCGTGAAGACATTGAGGTCGAAAAGAGCACTGCCACCCGGGAGGGTGAGCCGGCATCAGGTTCTCAGCTGGTGTCCGGCTACACCATTGGAAAGATGGCCGCCATGACAAGCACAGATGCGTGTGGCTTCCAACGTCGTGGACGGAATGGACCCGGTGGTGGAAATTGGAACAGAGAGCAAGGTCGACACGGATTTGAGTTGCAATTCAAGGACATCTCCTACAACCAGATCCAAGACACGCCTCAGGTGCGCTGCAGCCATCCGATCTGCGGATATCTGATGATGGACGGGCATTTGAAATGCCCGCGCTGCTTCCGGCAAATGGAACCCGTGACCGATGCCAACATCGCCACGGAAGTTGCCCGCCGGGAGGCGATGGCCCGTACCAGAGGAGTGCCCTTTTCCATGGACAAGGTGATCTTCAACCACCCGCGAAGAGGCAGAGTAGCCAGGCAGCCGGAGAAGGGATCGTCATCTTCTTCGACAGCCGTCCGGACCAGAAGCACCTATGGCAACTTGAGAGACATGGCCCGCAACTACGTCAGATCTTTCAAGAAAAGGGGCTTCAAGGACCTTGTTGACAGACTCGTCCGCGACCCATTCTTTCAGTTCAATGCGGCGAATCAAAACTTGGTGCCGGAGGCCTTGCTCTTCATTGAGCGTTTGGCTGGCTGCGTGAGCCCGACCATTGAGCGCACCAAAGCTCAGGTTCTTGGTGAAAAGCTTGAGATGGCCACCAAATTGATCTTTGTGCCATCGTCGGAGCGGGAGCCCGACCAACCCTTGGATCTTCACACCGAGGTGTTTGTGTCGCATCGGGGCGTCTTTCTCGACATTGGCCAATTCGCAGTCTATGTGGCGAAGTTCATCAAGCCAAAGCAAAGGCCTCTACCCATTGTTTATGGATGGGGCAACCGTGACTTTGTGCCTGATGCTTCGGATGCCAAGGAGATTGCAAAGGAATTGGTGGAGTTCAGCAAGCTGCAATGGTCGAACTATGCCTCCCAACAGACGCACAAGGAGTCTGAAACCACCGGCGACGACCGGGAGGTCACTCTTCCTCATGCAAGTGCAGCCATCAGCCGACCTGAACATGAACGACCCCATCACGAGCAATTTGAGCCAAATCTTGGCAAGCCTGCTCGCGGCGGTCCTTACGGCCAGGGCTATGGTGGAAAAGGTCATCACAAAGGTGGAGGACAGACCAAAGGAAAGGGACAGCAGAAGGGGAAGGGCAAGCAAGGCAGAAGCCCACCGGGAGGTGTGGCCTACGGTGACTTTGAAGGAGATTCCTACTGGGTTCAGGGCTACCGCTACACGTGGTACTGGAATCAACAGCGAGGCTGGTACTGGCGCTGGACCTGAACTATGGGATGACTCGCATTGACGCTTAGGTCATATCTTTCCTTTTTCAAATTTGCTTGCCGGGAGGCATGCCTGTCTATGACAAACTTGGCAGGCATCGCACCCATTGAACAAACCAAAGCTTTGACGCATATTATGCATTATCCCATTCAAATGAACTTCAATGCACAAACTCCTGCTCAGTTTGAACGAATTAAAATTTCATCCAAAACTTCTCAAGCCATGCAATTGGATGTTCAAGGCTGTACAGTTTTTCCTCGCCATGGTACCTTTCGGGTGACATCAAAGGAATGGTAAATTTCCTACGCTCATTTGAAGGTGCCTGGCGGGAGCCACGGCCATGCTGTGTGCAACATCGTGCCCAACTCCGGCAAAAGAGCATACGACTTGCATCCGTCAAATGCCTTGACATCCGTTGCATTCGAGCCACATGAGATTGATGTAGGTGTTTCAGTCATGTACATTCCTGTTCACTTAGGTCAAATCGCGGCAGCGTACACAAGGCGCAGTTTTACCGAAGTCGCTAAGCGGCTGCGGTAAACGGGGGGTATTTTTACATGAAGCTTATGTATAGTATCCTTTACCTCCCTGTAAAGTTACGCCTGATTGTGTACTTTGTATATCCATGACTTTATGGCTCAAGACAAAAACAGTGTGCGGCTTTGCTGGCTTTATCTGGTTGATTAACCTGTAAGTATATATATATATATATTTTTTTTTCCCTAGGACTGGCGATCTTATTTCAAGCTGATGAGATGCTGCTCTGATCCAGGATCCACCGGAAGTGTCTGGCAGTTTTGCAATAAAAATCAATAAAAACACCGTTCCAAGATGGTTTGTGGTCAGGGTAGCTGTCTAGCTCCCTCATAATGGTGAGCCCTAAACCTGGATGGGAAAAATGGGGAGGTCCTTCGTGAAACCGATGCGGAAGGTATGACGAGATCCAAATATTTCACGAGACCATATATTATTTGCCAGTAAGTATTCACCACTCGCACCGAGACATCCTGACACTGTGCCGCCAGCAGTTTTTCAACAAGGGAAAGGGTTAAATGACTGGCTGAGAAATCCAACAAGCACGGGCAGAGGCGGGGGCCAAGAACTCCTGGCGCGCGGGTATGCGCACACATACATTCCGCGTAGTTTGCAGTCTCAAAGACATTGCCAGCCGGCTGGACGCGCGCGCAAGGACTTTGATGCTTTTCTTTTTTGTTGCCGCTGGGGGAAAGACCGAAGACTGAATGGTCTTGTGGATGCCTTTTTTCGACCGCCCAGGAAAGAGTAGCATACTATCGCAAGATTTAACAACTATAGCATGACAGCGGATGTTGTATATATAGGTTTCTTTTCTTCTAAGGCCAAGTATGGGCTTCGCAACAGCCTGCTGGTGGCTCCGATGCCCACAGCCAGCACGGCGCAGATCTTGGGAAACAACGAGTCTTTCGAACCCTACACGCAGAACTTGTACGTCCGCAGGGTTTTGTCTGGTGAGTTTGTGCAGGCCCAGACGTCGAAGCGGCGGGGAAACTGGGGAAACTGACGTTTTTGATCGAACTCCTCTTGGTCATGGGTTATTCTGGAGGAAAATTGATGATGCGTCACTGGTTTGTTCTTGGTCTCATCTTTTGGTTTGGATTGATTCTTCGATGACATTTGGAAGAGCATTCAACAGGTGGCGGCAATTTGCGTGGTTTTCGTCAACATTGAAAACTCAAAGCATGCCTTGTGCCTCACAAGAAGTGGCAGGTCTCAAACAATTTGGCCGCATTTGTTGCCAGGTTTGCCGGATGTTTCAAATCCACGGAAAATAAGTACCCCCATCCCTGTATTTGATGGCCATCATGTGGGAAGTAAATTTGGATTCCAATAGATCCCGGTAATTTTTGCCCAAACTCAAGGTATGATGCATCTCGACGGGACTCGGTGGCCAGGTCAACCGTCATTTGTTGAAGGACCTGATCTCTCGTGGACTTTGGAGTGACGAAATGCGTGTGCAACTCATTGCTCACAATGGAAGCCGCTGGGACCGAGGAGTTGCACGGTCCTTGAAACAACAATTTTTCTGGGAACAGGTCAAAGACCGTGTTTTTGCAATGTTTTTTTGGGAACCAATGTTGTTTCCAAACCATATGAATCGTCATGGGTTTTTGTGAAAAAATGAATCGTCATGGGTTTAGGTTATCTGTATAATTACCCCAAAAACACCCCCCAACCCCATATACGAATGAATCATCATGGTTCAACGGTTCATTAGGAAAATAACACCATTATTAAGAACATGATTCTAACATGTCCATGTGTCATTTGAATAAAACATCCATGTTTGAATCCAACATTTCCATACCTGAGGTGTGCAAGAATTGGACTTGCCACAGGATTTGACGCTTGGCATATGCGAGAATTTACGAAATGTGGAAGGCATGTCATTCACAGAGGCTATGATTGATGGATAGCAACTACCATTATGAAGGGATATCACAGGTTGTAGCTTTCATATGGGGATATTGTTGGATAGTAGTGCAGTAGTGATTATAGTCTTATAGTGCCCCGTAATTTGACTATCAATTGTGGTAAACCAAATAATAAACCCAAATTTTAGCAGAAATGGGGTGTGTACACCATACCAAAAAGGAGGTTCATTGCGGGTTTACCAAATTTCAAAGAACAATCCAATTGTGGAGCATGGATGATTATATACTTGTAATGATTGGAACAGATTGGAATCAAAGAATTATTCATGATTGGAATATTCCCCAATGATTTATCCTTAGGGAAACAGAGTACTGTCAATCCTGGATTAGTGGTTCCCCCCTGGACTGTTTACTTGCAGGGTTACAACTTTTAGTGGAACATAATCACATTTTCTTAGGTTAACTGGTAACCTCCTGACTGCGGAAGGGTAAAAAACATCCGCGGTATCCTCCACATCTCGTGTTTGGAGGCCAACGGGCCGATGTTGATGGCTATGGGGTCCCATTGGTAGAAATGATTGCCAACTAATAGTCAGTTGGCTGTGGATCAATACCTATTAATACCATTTTTAGGGGGATGAACATCCATTTACCAGCTATTTTGATGTTCACCAGGGCTACATGATTTTGACACACTGTCAGTTATGAACCACCTCACTCCATTAAAAAGTATGCTTAAACTGTCCACTGTAAACCATCTGGCCGGTGGTTTGAAAAATGTTTCCTTTTCTTCCCTTACAACCCAATTCAATGGGATTCTCACCCATTTATATTGACTTCCATATCCACTTCATCCTGATTATCCCTATTATGTTTCCGACTTTAATCCGATCATGTGACATATTATCATCCCGATGCCATTGCACACCACTACAGCCCCATTTACAAAGAAGTCTACAGTGTTTTACAGTATACCATTGAAATCCATTCAGGTTAATCCTCCGTTTCCATGTCATCGGTTTGTGAAATATCCCCCAAACGTTCATGGTGGATTTCTTCATTTCGACGGGATAAATCCGAACAAATCTCAGTGACTCCCATTGATTCATGGTTCACCTACACTTGTTTTTCTTTTTTAATGGTTGAATCAATTTCAGTCATGATGATTGATGGATAAACTCCCCAGGAAGGATCTCTACAAGACCGTTTGGGAGATCAAACAACGCAGAGTCCTTGACATGGCCGCGGATCGCGGGGCCTACATCGATCAGTCGCAATCCTTGAGACATGGCGCTGCGCGCGGTGAGGGAACTTGAGCCAGAAGATAAAGTTATCCTACGTATAATGATGGTCATTAACCATGGATAATAATATATATATATATATTATAATACAACAGATGATAATAATAATATTAGACCAATAGTAATATCACATATATATATTATGGAGGTTTCCAAAGTCATGGAGGTACCCCCAAATCTCATCTATTCATCGCTGGGATTTTCCGCGACAGAAGGGAAAAGCTCCCATTTTTGTCGAACCCCCCAAATGGTGATTAGACCAAGCATGGCCAAAATCAGCAGGTCTCTGGGTCTAAATGTTCGACCCGTACTCCAATCGGAAGCCAAAGAAATCAGGCAGCTTTCTATGGCCATCAACTCTAAGTCAGAAGGATTCTGTTGCGCCGCAAATATATTCTTGGCATTTCTTGGGTCATAAATTTCGTTTTTGGATCCATCCAGCATATCCATGAAGGCCCGACTTTCAAATGCTTGGAGACATATGATAAATATGAGACCCAGACCAGCACTTCTCAGCTTCCACTTGTGGTGTTTTTCTGATTCCGCCCAAGTTTCTGGTGATGGGTATTTAGGATCTATGGAAACATATGGATCATGTGGAATGGATCAACACAAGAACAAACTCCATGGATTTTTAAGACTCACATTCTTCGACCTGAACTCCGAAAAAAAGTGACTTGGTCCAGAAATTGGGCTCCAAAGTTGCCACCAGCATCAAAACATGACGGAAATTGTTCTCTTCATCAACCATTTGATTTGGGGCCATTCCCCATTGTCTTTTTTGAAACCCTGAACATTTTTGGAGGCAATCTGCGCCAACATTACCCAACAAATCAACCAGCAGGTCATGTGTTGACCCCCAAAAAAGGGAGATTTTGCCAACATGAAGCAACAACTCCACCAAGACATCCCATGGGATTCGCCTATCCCAGGAACATCCATATGGTGAATGCCACCACTGCCAAACTCTCATCGATGCACTTCCACGGCTGGGAAAGAGGTTCCATGGCTGAAGTTAGATGATGGAGTTGCCATTGGATTCGATTTTGTTGGGGTAATCAGTGGGCTTGTTTTATGGGAAACTTTGTTTTTTTGGAGTAAACATTGGGGATGTAGGGTTGGATAAAACGGAAACTGAGTGAGATCAGGATTTTTTGCTGATAGCTTTGATGGGTTTGAGAGATGGGATCCTGTAAGATTTGGGATTTGGGATTGAACTTCAGCAACTTTTGGGGCTTCAGCCCTTGGGCATTTTGGACATAAACGAAGAATGGGGAGATATCATGATATATCATTAAATCACCCCTGCGAGCTGGGGCATTTGGATGAGTCGTTTGCGAATCGATGTCACGTCGTCTGGTCCGCCAGAAATCTTTTGTTTGGAGTATTGGATCTCCAAGAAAACTATTTAAATACACAACATATTTTTGTTGATGTGCCTGGGAACCTAAGGCCACAAATAGATGCACTGCTCACTGCACCTCATTCGCTGATGGTTTCTAGTCCAAACCGCTTTGCGTTGTGCAGATGATCCTAGGTTTGAAGACTGGTCTCTACTACTTGCGCACCAAAGCGGCAGCAGATGCGATCAAATTCACTGTGGATGTGGATGCTCTGAAGAGACTTGGCCTGTCGACCTGCTTCCCCACCGGCGTCGGTGCAGGTTTCAGATCTCGTCCCATGAATGCTGTACTTGATTTGTGTCATTTATATATATATAATATATGTAAGTTAGAATACTGTATTATATACACAGTATATCGATCGATTTGGGATGATTTTGGACGTTCTGTTTGAGTTGTCAAACCATTCTGAAACCTCATTCTGCAACCCTCAAGCCTATCATCCTGTAAACACACCTCCCATTGTTTTCGTTGAGGAAAAGTGGTTCAGATTCGGACAGCACCACAGCAACTGTGAAGACCAGCATATCTTCCGCATCCTCAATGTCCTCCGGATCGCCGGAGAAGTCTGTAATTCAATCTCTAAAGGCTGAGGGGCCGAAGTACACCTGTGAGAACTGCAGCTCTTAAATTCGACCGTGAACAGCCTCAGGGGTCCCGAATTTGGGAGGGGCGGAAAATGGTCGGCGCATTTGGGTGATCATGGAGAGGCATCTGCCTCGTCATGATGTTGGTTACCGTTGGTTGGTGGCTTCAAATCTTTGACTTTTCCATATTTTTCCATCCTATAGTGGGATTCATGCTGTTTGGCAGGAGGATTGGCTACAGAAAACACCAACCACTTGGGGGGGTTCCAGCACCGGGAGACCCGGTGGCGGAGTTTCAGCGCTGTCAGCGTCTCACAGGGCTTAGACACTCAGACCGAAGAGCGGGGCTGCAAAAAAAGGGCTGCAGCAAGTGCATCCCCCAGTCTCCTTGGAGAAGATGAGATGAGAGATGAAAAGGATCATGATGAAATCAACCCCCATTATTTATTCCATATGATGGATGAACATCCATAACCTAATAGCTATTATTATTCGTGTTCAGTAGGGTTTTCCCCGGGTTTTCAGCCATAGCCGCATGGGACGGCGCTGCAGTTCAGCTGCTTCTGGCTGCAGGTGGAGCGTTGCTACTCTATGACCTCCGTTTCTTGCGGCCCTGGAAGCAGTGGAAGGTGCCAACACATCCGTATCTGGTTGGTGGTTTGGAACTTTTTTCTTTTTTCCCATCATATTGGGAATGATCATCCCAACTGACTTTCACTCCATCATTTTTCAGAGGGGGTAGGGTTGGTTGAAACCACCAAGCAGATATCATACTTTGCGTCAGAAACCATGGTGGATATTACTAGGTGGTTAGACCCATTGGCCCATGAAAGCCTATTTTTCCATAGCTTTTCCATACGACGGACGGGCGGAGACCAGGCGGAATTTGGGGAATCTGATGGATTTTCCGGGGGCCCGTCCAACTTTGGCGCCGTCAAGCTCTACAGAGTTGACACGCATATTTTATGGTGAATAATGACTATTTAATATGTATCTTCCTAATGAGAATATTCATATACATATATATATATATATAGATGGATGGATGGATGGATGGATGGATAGATGGATGGATGGATGGATGGATAGATAGATAGATATAATATACATAACATATCAATTATCAATATATGAATTACAACATGGATCATTTAGATATGGATCCTCACAACTACGGCACATCATGGGCAGGCACGCGCCGGCATCGTAGATCTGAGGACCTGGGTGAAAAAAACAAGTCGCTTCAACAGATTTGTGGATGAGTATTTTTTGTGATTTTGATGATTTTTGGTGATTTTTGATCTGTGGAGAACCTGTAGATCTGTGGATTTTTGATGATTTTCTTTGGATAACTGAAGCATAATCCACAGATAACTTCTGCATTGATGGAAGATCAACTTGATTTTATGTCACAATGCGAAGATTACTGTGGATTATTGATGATGGATTATCATGGATGATTTTAGATGATTCTTGGATGATTTTTGATGATTATTGTGCTTTCTCCGAGTTTTACCTGACCCGGTCTCTGTGTGGTTTCAACCATGAAAACCATTGGAGGATTTTTGTGACATTCTTTGTTTGGATTTTGGGGTTGTCCCCCATTGTTGGGCACAAAAAAAGGCTATGGCAGCTATGGTTCAGGAAATGGTTCCAGTTCAATGCCCGAGTCAAATACCTTGGATACCCTCTGGTAAACGTTTACGTAACTATGGAAAGATCCACCATTTTCTAGCTGGGTAAATCCACTATTTCGACTGGGCCATTATTCAATAGCTTTTTAAAGTTTTTGTATGTTTACCAGAGGGTAGACAACGGAATATCACTCCCGAACTTGGATGGTTTGGTATGAACATGACGCATTTGATGGGCGATTCGAAGTTTCAATCTTTGTAACACCCCCCGAAGTCCACTCAATTCATTATTTACACATGTATATAACTCATATATCTATATATTTATCAATGCATATATTAAAATAGATATATATATATATACATATTTATTTGTTTATATGTGTATATATATATATAGTTAGCGGTTGCAACATTTAATTAAATATATATATAGAGCTTTCACCTGTAACATTCCCGTTGGCATAATTGAGGAGTGCAGATGTTGCTTCCTCGCATGGTGTCTTCGCAGCGGCTTGGCATCCATCAGCGACCCGTTGGGGGAAAGCTGGTTCATGGGGTATACCCCCTTACTGTACCTGGTACCCCCAGTTATGGCCATATAATGGGAAAACAATATGGGAAAACATATGGGAAATGATATGGGAAACATTAAAATAATACATTTGAATTGGGGGTACCATATTGTCAGACGATTTTATGTTCTTTCAATCCCATTCTGCTGAATCTGCTCCAATTGCTCCAAAAAATTCAAGCAATCTGACGCTGCGATGGTCATATTCATCATTTTCAGCAGTAGACTACCCTCTGGTAAACTAACATAACTATGGAAAATCACAATTTTTAATGGGTAAATCCACTATAAATGGCCATTTTCAATAGCTTGTTGTACGTTTACCAGTGGGTATCTCACTTCTCGGGTCACCATTTGGTACAGTCAAATCTGGCAACGGAACATTTGCATCATCTGCGCGGGAACAGATGTTCGAACATCATCTTAAACCATGTAACCAATGTAGCGCCAAAAACCACCTTCCAACAGGCGGCAAATCCCTATAGTCTCAGTGGTATCATGGTAGGTTTACAAACCCCATGAATACTATAGTTATATCTACCATAAACCATAGAATTCAGCCACTTATCATGGTAGGCAGGTTGTTTTAAGGCACCAGCTTTCTTCTTCGCTTTTGGAACGTCGAATCGAGGCCTTGAACTCTCGATGCAACGAGGTGGCGCTGTTTGATGTGTCACAAGGACGACTTTTGGGCGCTGCAAGTGTTGTTACCAGTTGTTACGGGGAGATTTGGGAGGTTTACTGCAAGGGGTTATCCACTCCAACTCAGAGCTGGAAGACCGAGGACCATCCCATGACCCTATGGGGGCCATGGCTTCCATCGAAATTCCTGAAGCATTGAGAATGTCTGGACATTCACACTGGCCAGAGATTCATGTTGGAATCGTCAAAAAATGTGTCTTTGTTGGTAACACGTTTCTCCTAGAATGTAACTCCTCCTTTTTCACTGCGGATAGACATCTCATGTTAGATCCACTTTCAGTTGGCATCCCTGCGTGCCAGGATCTTGCCTCACTCTTTTCCTGACGGACCCTACGGATGAGAAGCCCAAAGAGGTCAAAAACGGTGGGCTGGTTGATTTTCAGTGCCATTTGAGCCAGATGTGTTTCAGGGCTCAGATTTGACATTGCAGAGCCATTTTGAGGTCATTTTTCAGTAAGTTTTACTCTGCGAACCATCTTTTCGATCCCTGCTGGTACCAAAAAAATGACCCAGCAATGATACCAAAGGGGCAAGCATAAAGGAAGGAAGAAGTTCTGAGGTTGATAGCAGAGAAGAAAGGCCTGGGTTTCCTTTCCCTAACTTAGATCACTTAGATCTGATGTTTTTGCCCCAATGACCGGAGGACTCTGGGGGAATACTGGCCCCCCCAAAAACCGCCTGGCTGCAGCTGTGACCAGGCTTTGAGTGTGCTAAGTTTGACTGAAATCAGTGGTGGAGCTGGCCCGGATTGGAAACGGCGAACCGGAGCCCTGTGGGGAGTCAGCCATGAAACATATGGGAAGATATGGGAACATACGAGCAGCACCGTGCAAATAGACAACTTGGGAAAGTTTGGTTTTCACTTTGGTTTTGCACAAGGGGAGTCGCAAGGGGAGACGCAAGTAGGAGTGGATCCCTATTCTCAAAGACATAGTCTTCAGGGTCTGAGTAGGTCCAAATTCTCAGGTTGTTTGGCCAACTTCAAAACTGACTGATCATGATGCGAAGGATCTAATTGGACAGAAACAGGTTGGATTTGATACATAGGGAAATAACTAGGGAAATAAATAGGGAAATAATAGGGAAATAAATCGGGAAAGAAATAGGGAAATAATAGGGAAATAAATAGGGAAATAAATGGGAAATAATAGGGACATAAATAGGGAAATAAATGGGGAAATAAATAGGGAAATAATAGGGAAATAAACAGGGACATAAATAGGGAAATGATAGGGGAATAAATAGGGAAATAAATAGGGAAATAAATAGGGAAATAATAGGGAAATAAATAGGGAAATAAATAAGGAAAAAATAGGGAAAAAATAAGGAAACAAATAGGGAAATAAATAGGGAAATAAATAGGGAAATAAATAGGGAAATAAATAGGGAAATAACTATAGGGAAAAAATAGGGAAATAATAGGGAAATAAATAGGGAAATAAATAGGGAAATAAATAGGGAAACAAATAGGGAAATAAATGGGGAAATAAATAGGGAAATAAATAGGGAAATAAATAGGGACATAAATAGGGAAATAATAGGGAAATAAATAGGGAAATAAATAGGGAAATAAATAGGGAAATAAATAGGGAAATAAATAGGGAAATAAATAGGGAAATAAATAGGGAAATAAATAGGGAAATAAATACGGCAATAATAGGGAAATAAATGGGGAAATAAATCGGGAAATAAATAGGGAAATACATGGGGAAATAAATAGGGAAATAAATAGGGAAATAATAAATAAATAGGGAAATAAATAGGGAAATAAATAGGGAAATAAATAGGGAAATAAATAGGGAAATAAATAGGGAAATAAATGGGGAAATCAATAGGGAAATAAATAGGGAAATAAATAGGGAACTGATAGGGAAATAAATAGGCAAATAATAGGGAAATAAATAGGGGAATAAATAGGGAAATAAATAGGGAAAGAATAGGGAAATAAATAGGGAAATAAATAGGGAAATAAATAGGGACATAAATAGGGAAATAATAGGGAAATAAATAGGGAAATAATAGGGAAATAAATAGGGAAATATATAGGGGAATAATGGGGAAATAAATAGGGGAATAATAGGGAAATAAATGAGAAATAAATAGGGAACTGATAGGGACATAAATAGGGAAATAAATAGGGCAATAAATAGGGAAATAAATACGGCAATAATGGGGAAATACATGGGGAAATGAATAGGGAAATAAATATGGAAATAAATAGGGAAATAAATAGGGAAATAAATGGGGAAACCAATAATAAATAGGGAAC